CGAGCCAGGGCTGGGCGGGCGGTGCGCTGCAGTGCGGCCGCAGCGTGCACTTGGCCTCGCCGCTGCACCAGCCGCACTCGAACTTGGGGTCAGCCTTCAGGCAGAGCCCGCAGCTCTCGCGCTGGGCTGCGCACTTGTAGAGGTGCACTGCGGGGAAGAGGGGATGGTGCTCAGGACCCAGCCAGGAACTGAGATGTTCAGATGGACTGCAGCTGCTCTCCGGCTTAGAGCAAAGGCATGTGTTGAGTTTTGACACAATGAGCTGCAGAGTGTTGGCACAGGTTTGCAAAGCCCAGGCTGTATCAGTGGGGCAGAGGGAGCTGCTCCAACCCAAAGCAAGACCCACCAGGACCTCCCATCTGAGGACAGGCTGAGACAGTTGGGGGTTTTCAGCCTGGAGAAGAGAAGGGTCCGGGGAGACCTTCCAGCACCTTCCAGTGCTGAAAGGGGGCTACAGGAGAGATGGGGGATCAGGGGGTGCAGGGATAGGATGAGGGTTAATGGTTTTAAGCTGAAAGAGGGCAGATTGAGATGAGCTATTGGGAGGAATGTTTTCCTGTGCGGGGGGTGAGGCAGTGGCCCAGGGTGCCCAGAGAAGCTGTGGATGCCCCATCCCTGGAGGGGTTCAAGGCCAGGCTGGATGAGGCTTTGGGCAACCTGGGCTGGTGGGAGGTGTCCCTGCCCATGGCAGGGGGGGGCCCTGGATTATCTCTAAGGTCCCTCCCAACCCAAACCACCCTGTGATTCTATGACCACGATGTCTCTGCCCGTAGCCGCAGCAATGGCAGCAAATGCCGCTCTGCCCCAGCAGCCTCTCCCCAGCCCCCATCACTCGACAGCCAACTCACGCAGACGTTACCTTTCAGATCCTCCGGGTTGTCAATAACAAAGTTCCCATTCCAAACCACAGCAAAGTCCACGGCTAAGTTGCTTATGTCCATCCCATCATAGAGATACTGCAGGAGAAGATGGAGAATGAAATGCTGGGGAGGATGTATCAGAGACACCAACAGGAAAAGAAGGTTTAAAGAAACTGTGATTATTCTCTGCTCAAAAACACGCATTGACGTCTGAACCACCACACTTCCCCACTCCATCTCCAGGGTCCTGCTTTGACTCCCTCCTCCTCACCAGGGAGAGATAATTAAATCAGATCCAGTCCTTCTGAGAGGTAATAGATTAATTATTCCACTCACAGTGGTTGCTCTTGTCACTCAGTCTCCAGCTTATCAATAGAGCCCCTCCAGTTAATCAGCGGGGAAGGGCTGCTGCCTCCGGGCTATCTTCTAACACAGTCACCGTGCACCCTGGTGTGACTGGGAGCTTGAAAATCAGGCTGCACAGCTTGGGCTGATGAAACAGGCAACAGCCGAGAGAAAATACCTGGTGCAGCCCTTTCCCAGGCTCTGCTTCAGCCTCGTCCAGCTTAACACTGACTTGAATTATTCACCTTCCCACGGACATCCCGGGGGCCGGGGCTGAGAGAATCAGGATGCTTTAGGTGAATTCCCAGTGTATTCAGAAATTCCCATTAGCACAATTAGCACCACTGAGGCCTCATTCTGATGCTCTCTTTAAATCAACCAAGAGCTGCTAAAAAGCCTTAACATGGCAAGCAAACACTGCCATGCTCTTTGGGAGGAAGGAACGAGGATGAAACCAGAGCAGATTGCTTTGACTGGCCCCATGCAATAGTCACACAGCTTGAACTTACATTCGGTCGGACTGATCCACCTTGGTTTTACTAAGCGAAACCAGATCTGCTGTACAAGTGAGACCTGTGAATGCAGAATTGCCTTTACATTCTCTACCTACCTCTTCCTATGAGCCTAACAGGAATAAAAGTGCTTCTCTAATGTTTATAAATTGCTTTGGATAGGAGAAGTACTAGATAATATTAATACATTTATTATCTACCAAGCAGCACAGCCCAAAGACAGCCAGCGACATATAAATATCCAGTGAAATTTTTAAAAATTCAAAATTTCATTAAGAATTTAAGACCATCTGCACTGAATATTAAAACAGACCCTGTTCTGCTGCCTAAAACAAACTGAACGTGCCCTGTTTGCCCATGGACCCCTTCGAAGGGACAGCAAGGAGCGGAAGGACCACACTGTGCCATGCGAGACCCAAATGTGGGCTGGGGCCAGGCGGTGGCCTTTGGGAACCCTGCGTTTGCCGTATGTGTTTTGGCGTTCCCGAGTACCTGCCACGGTGACTTTGGGCATCCTGGGCTAAAATCCCACCAGGTCCATTGGTAGGGCAAAGCCCCATTCTCTGAAGGGAAGCGACGCTCCCCTGCCTGCTCCTCCGGCAGCATCACTCGGATAATTTCCCTCTCTCTGCTGCGCCGTGCTCTCTCCCCTGGCAGTTTTCCTTTCCCCTCCTTCCCTGCACCACGCTGCTTTTCAGTATTCATCCAGCTACTGTGACCTGGAATTCGACAGCTCCCCGATAAGGGGTCTGTGATTCACCTTATCTCCCCCGTGTGAATTAGCCTGCCTTAACACCTTCCTCCCATTCCCTCCTCCTCCTCCCCTTCCCCTCGCTGACCCCCCGCAGTCACACAGGGAACCGAAGATAAAGCATCTTCTCTGGCTGATGCTCTAACGAAACACGTTGCACACCTATGGCAGGTTCCCACCTGGAATTTGGGATTTTTTGCTCTCCCCATGGCTCAGCCCACCCCCTCCGCAGCTGACACCCATCCTGGGCACCTTTTTTGCCCCGTCCCGGTCCCTCACCGAGCTGTTCTGGCACTGGACACTGGAGCTGTTGAAGCGCAGGGCGGGCACGCGGTGGATGACGCCCTGGATGCTGAGCACGCACTCGTACCCGCGCTGGCCGGATTGGGGCTGCGGCAGGTTCCTTGCCTTCAGTGTGATGGGTTTCACCTCTCCCACTGGGATCAGGATCTCCTCCGTGGGGAAGAGCTGGGGACAGTCCTGGGGGGGCAATAAAAGAGAAGGGGAGGTTACAGCAGT